AAAACAAACCGAGGGAAGCAAATCATAGTATTTCCCTTAAATCAATCAAGTATGAGAGCATTTTGCAAATTTGTGTGGATTTTTCAGATGTAATAGAGGCGTGAACTGCCAAAAAAATAAGAATTTAACAGATGTACTCATTTCCTGTTTAGTAACTTAATTAGTTTTGTTTTCCTCAATAAAATGAATTGATTATTACAAAAATTGCAACAACTCTGACTCATTTTTGCAACCAAACGTAATCTGTAGTCCAGGTAAAATAAAATATCTCGATGACCTAATAAAGTCTGCAGAAATGAGGTTGGATGAAATGCTGCTGAAGATAAAATGATTAGCGCCGGTTTCAGCTATAACCATGTTTCTTTTTAAAAAAATAAAAAATATATCAACATTCTTCAGCTGTAGATTGTAAACTTTGTAGATTGTAAAAATTCAGAATCGCGAAACCAAAGTTATAGTTTTTCTCTCTCTGAGGGAAGTCCAACGAGGGATTTCTCTCATAAGTTCAAAACTTTTTGATTTAAAAACTGAAAACCGTTAAATGTTCATGCAAAACAAAAACAAAGAAAAACAGGTTGTAAAATCTGAGCAAGTCACCGTTTCTAGATATAAAAATCCTCACAGCACCTTCCGTACTGGTAGAAAACTTCCAAAAAAATGGGATAATTTTAATGCAAAAATAACAATTCACCATCATTTACTGTCCGGAACGAAAATTTCTTTTTATAAACATGACAAAATATTTCTGCGCCGGGGTGATTAGTAGCAAACCTCCATATTCAAGAGGACAAAAAAGGGGAAAATCGAATGAAAATATGATTGGAAAAACACCTCCTGTCACTAAATGACATCAAGAGTCCAAAGAGGCCCAACATCTGCCCACATCTGTACGCAAAATGTGTCATAAGTTAAGTATTGTGGATAATAAAGGCAACTCTTTTAAAAAAAAAGTCCCTCTTCAAACATTCAACTGAAGATTTGTTTGGATTTCTGAGGACTTGTGAGGAAAAATGGAACTTTAAGGTAAATACATTTTCATTTACTGTATTTTATGGGCAACGTTATGTGAGCTATGTCGTAACTATGTCGTAACTATGTTGTAACTATGTAGTATGCTGTCATTTTGTCTTTAATGTTACATAAAGTTTTAAAAGGCCATTAAATTATCTTCCTATTTTTCGCCTTTCCTCTTCTAACTGAGCCAATTTAGTCTTTAATGTTACATAAAGTTTTAAAAAGTCCATTAAATGATCCTCCTATTTGTCGCTTATCCTTTTCTAACTGAGCCAATTTAGTCTTTAATGTTACATAAAGTTTTAAAAGGCCATTAAATTCTCTTCCTATTTGTCGCTTTTCCTCTTCTAACTGGGCCATTTTCGCATATTTTCTAACATTTTTGGGATATTCAGTGCTAAGCCGAAGCAGAGTTTTTTAAAATTTTCACCTTAAACATTTAAAAATGAGTTCAACCCATTTGAACTGGCCTGACTCTGCATGGGACTCTTCAGAGGGCTGAGTGGAGGTTTGTATAGAGGATAAAACTGCATTGGTAGTGGATAGAATTCCTGAATGAATTCAGGCTCTATGGGCAAACAAAGAAAAAAAAAATAGCCGACCAGTGAAAGATACGATAATCTACTGCGTTGCAAAAAAATTCTCCCAACGTGTGTGCCACCCACGAGCGCGTGGATGTGAACTGGAGTCAGTCCTCAGCGTTATAAAAGGCCCAAAGCCGTTGGTTTCCGGGATTTGAACGGTCCTTTGAATGCTCAGTCTAGACAATACGAGCTACGGCCAACACATTTCTGCCATGGCAACAAATTCCAGCAACGCATTTAAAACTGGTGTCGTTTTTTGCCGCTAACTAAATCGATTAAGAGCGAGTATAAACTGTTAGTGAAATGAACCTGTTCACCGGCTTTAAGATCATTCGGTGCCCCTTTTATATTTGAAGATGATGTTGAAAACCTGAAGAAAAGACGGAAAATGGGTTTAAACAATCAGCCTGGCTGCATCTGCCTCTAAAAGGGATAAAAAACATTCTTCTTTTTTCTTTTTTTTGTACGGCTTAATCAAATTATATATATATATACATGTATATATATATATATAGTCTATTTGTTGACTTTAGAGGTGCCATTTAGTGAGTTTGCAAAGCAGACTGATTGTTTCCCCAATTCCTTTAATCCAGCTTCAAATTGAACCAATTTCTATTAATGTCACTGTAATTACTGTAATTAATTACTGTAATTACTCTCACTGTAAATACGCAGCTTTTTAAACTTTAGTGGGCTTAACGGGACATTAAAACCACCTTCATATGATATAGCACATGAAAGCAAACAACCTAAAAAGGTTTTTTTTTGTATCGGCTTCTATCAATTTCGACGCATTTCAAATAAATGACCAAACGCCAACTGACCAGAGTATGCTGGACCGGTTTAACAGAATTTTGTGACAAAGCTTCACATTCTTCCAGAGGATTATGACCTGTGGGAGAAGTGGACAGAAGCATCCACAGTCCACAGAAACAGAAACTCACTCAGAAACTCACAAAAAGCCCTACGAAGCCAAAGAAAAAAAACTAAAGCAAAGGGCCGACCAGCCGGTG